GGGCCGTACATATAACAGAACACGTACTGTAATTTACTAGCACTATTGCACATGACTCACAGTGTGAAACAAGATATATTTCCCGTCCCCAGGCGCTTTTACCAGGCCATGCTGCTACCAATCTCTTTCTTTCGATGTTGCAGCTCTTGCGAACAGTTTCTAAAGAAGAGAGGGTAGCTGTGATGAGACATGAGTACTGACACTTGGCAGTATATTTCAAGCCATCTTTGTCACATCGCCTTCTCATAATCAGAGAACATCCCGCGGCTGACAATTATTACTGTGTATCGAGTGAGCTCCACTAAGTAATCGATCACCAACCCAGCATTTCCCATATCAATTCTACAACAACACGACCGACAAACCACATCCTTTCAAAATGGTCAAAAAGGGCAAAGGAAAGTCCAGCGGCGGTATAGACCTCTCTGACCCCATGCCATCTGCGCCGTCTAAGGACCAAGGAAAAGGAAAAAAAGGCCAAAAAGGTGGCACGTCTACTCCTGAAGCAGCTCCTTCAGGCCCCCCAAAACCTACGGTCAAGCAACTCATTGGCGGCTCTTCATGGACAGGGAAGCTACCAGTAAACCTGCTTAGCGAGTACTGTCAGAAACAGAAATGGGAAAGGCCCGATTATGATACCAAGAAGACTCCTGATGGTTTCTCTGTATGGGTTACTATGAGCGCCAAGGATCCTAAAACCCAGCAGATCACCAAACTAGAACCCTTCAAAATTCCAGCAACTCATAAGCATCTGATCATGCGTCCTACGGCAATAGAGGCCAAGCATGCCGCAGCAACATATGCCCTCTTCAGAGTGTGTAGCATGCAGAACAAACACACGGTTCTCCCACCAGAGCACAAGTCATTATGGAAAGACTTCCAGGCCCTGAAGACCCAAGATGTGAAAGAAGGCAAGGCCTGGATGTATGAACCGGACCCGTTTAAAGCACTTCAAGAGCGTCAAGAGGCAAAGGCTGCCGCAGAAAAGAAGAGGAAAGAAATTGAGGCCGCCAAGGCTAAGGCCGCTGCCATGCCTGGTGCTTCTGGACTGGTCCTTATGAGTAATGCAGGTAAAGGAGACAGTCGGTCATCCAGCATCATGAAGGGGTGGAGTAATGCGCCCAAGGTTGAGATGGGGAAGAAGACAAGAGCACAGTTAGAGACGTTGCTACGAAGCGGCGTCAAGTGGAATCCAAATGGTGTCCAGATGTCGAAACCTCAAAAAGACGCTATCATTTCCGAACTCAGCAAGCTCAGCTTCCGTAAAAGCCATGTTGAAGAGGCAGTCGAATATTGCAAAGATCGAGAAGAGACGCTCGAGTGGCTTCTCATTCACGTCCCCGAGGATGATCTTCCTCGTTGGGCCTTGCCAGAGAGCTATGCGGCTGGAGTGTCGGTCGGAGCTACGAATCTGAGACGAGAGGGCATCATCAAACGACTAGCTCAAGCAGGTTACTCACTTGAGCTGGCCACAAGGGTGCTGGATGAGCAAGGGGTTGATGAGGACAAAGCCGCGGAGACTTTACAAAATTTGCTCTTCCCTCGAGAATCTCAGGATTCCGCCGATGCTGACTTCTTAGATTTAGGCTCACCCGAAGAACAGTGGGAAGAAGAACTTGGGAGTCTTGAAGCAATCTATGGGGAGGGTTTCGAACGTGAAGGCGATAAAGTCATTCGCATCAAGCTCGATTCTGTCAAAAATGGGCAACAGACCGTCGATGCCTCTTTTCAGGTTCGACGTCCAGCTACCTATCCTGCCAACTTGATTCTATCGATTGTGGCCAACATTCCTTCTTATATCAAGCTTAGCATCATTCGAAAAGCTCTCGAGTATATCGATGAGTCTTTGCGTGATGAGCCAATGAAGATCTACCTGGCAATGGACTGGGTCCAGCAGAACATCAACGGCATCATTGAGGAGCCTGGAAAGCTGGTGGATATTTCGGCCGTCTCCTCAGCCGCAGCCGAGTACAAACCTGTGGCGGCTATCGCACAAAACAAGCGAAGTCCACGCGCCCCAAAAATGATCAAATGGATCAAGGATGAGAAAAGCCGGGAGCAATGGCTTCAACGACAAGAGTCATCATCTTTGAAGAACATGGTATCCAAGCGTCAGGGTCTCCCTGCCTGGCAGATGCGAGAAGCCATAATCGGCACCGTCAGAAGCAACCATGTCACTATCATCAGCGGAGAAACAGGATCGGGTAAATCAACACAGTCTATGCAATTTATCCTGGATGATCTGTATGCCCAAGGTCTTGGTGGTTGTGCAAACATGATTGTCACCCAGCCGCGACGAATCTCAGCTCTTGGCCTTGCCGATCGTGTAGCAGAAGAAAGATGTACACGTGTGGGCGAAGAGGTGGGATATGCTATTCGAGGTGAATCCCGGAGATCGAAAGATACAAGGATAACATTTGTGACGACGGGTGTTTTACTCAGGCGATTGCAAACCTCAGGGGGCCGAGTTGAAGATGTCGTGGCGTCTTTGGCGGATGTCAGCCACGTTGTGATCGATGAAGTACACGAGCGCAGTCTCGATACTGACTTCCTACTCAACCTTATCCGCGATGTCATGAAGGCCAAGAAGGATATGCTCAAGCTGATTCTGATGTCCGCGACACTTGATGCCGCAACTTTTGAGAATTATTTTGCCTCAGAGGGACTTAGCGTGGGCACAGTCGAAATTGCAGGCCGGACATTCCCTGTAGACGAGTACTATCTGGACGATGTGATCCGTATGACAGCATACGGAGTCGAAAGCTCTGATACAGAGTTCATCAGCGGAGAGGCTCTGGGCAAAGTCATCCAAAAATTGGGTCATCGCATAAATTACAACCTGCTGGTTGAGACGGTCAAGGCCATTGATTTCGAGCTATCCTACGAAAAGAAACCTGGTGGCATTCTGATTTTCCTCCCTGGAGTTGGTGAGATCAACCAAGCTTGTCGCGCACTGAAAGCTATCAATTCGCTTCATGTTTTGCCCCTTCATGCTTCGCTTGAGACACGCGAGCAGAAAAGACTGTTCTCTGGTGCTCCTCCAGGAAAGCGAAAGGTCGTGGTCGCAACTAATGTCGCAGAGACTTCAATCACAATAGACGACATTGTTGTGGTAATTGACAGCGGAAAGGTAAAGGAGACCAGCTTCGATGTGCAAAACAACATGCGCAAGCTCGAGGAAACGTGGGCATCACGCGCCGCCTGTAAGCAACGACGTGGTCGAGCTGGCCGAGTACAAGAGGGCAGATGCTACAAACTCTTTACGCAAAACCTCGAACAGCAAATGCCCGAACGACCTGAACCAGAGATTCGCCGTGTTCCACTGGAACAACTGTGTCTCTCAGTCCGTGCTATGGGAATGAAGGATGTTGCCGGGTTCCTAGGCAGGTCTCCAACACCTCCTGACGCGACTGCTATCGATGGAGCTATGAAGCTCCTGCGACGCATGGGAGCACTCGATGGTGATGAGCTTACAGCCATGGGTCAGCAGCTTGCCATGCTCCCCGCTGACCTTCGGTGCGGCAAGCTGATGGTGTTTGGTGCCATCTTTGGTTGTCTAGATGATTGCGTAACCATTGCAGCGATTCTGAGCACAAGAAGTCCCTTTGTTTCTCCACAGGAGAAGAGATATGAAGCGAAGGAGGCTCGTATGAGCTTCTACAGAGGTGATGGGGATCTCTTGACTGATCTTCAGGCCTTCCAGGAGTGGGATTTCATGATGCAGGACCACATACCCCATCGTCAGATACGATCTTGGTGTGAAGAGAACTTTCTCAATTTCCAGACCTTGTCAGACATCTCCAATACTCGGGCACAGTACTATACAGCCCTGGGAGAGATTGGTATCGTGGCACCCTCAGAAGCGACAATCGAGGCTCATGCACATGGTGCTAGCTCTGATGGATCCCAGCTCCTGAGAGCGCTGGTTGCTGCGGCTTTCACGCCACAGATCGCTCGCATCCAGTACCCCGACAAGAAGTTTGCAAGTTCAATGTCTGGTGCCGTGGAGTTAGACCCCGAGGCCAGGTCGATCAAGTACTTTAACCAAGAAAACGGACGCGTGTTTGTTCACCCCAGCAGTACGTTATTCGGAAGCCAGGGTTTCTCGGGAAATGCTGCGTATATGGCTTATTTCAGTCTGATCTCAACCAGCAAGATCTTCATTCGGGACCTGACACGTACGTATATCACCTCTCATGTTGCAAGTCTTGTTCGGTTTCGCTAACATATCTAACAGCCTTCAATGCATACACACTCCTACTATTCTCGGGACCTATCGAACTCGACACTCTTGGTCGAGGTCTACTTGTTGACGGCTGGCTCAGACTTCGAGGATGGGCGCGTATCGGTGTTTTACTGGCTAGACTCAGAGGAATGGTTGATGAGTTGATCGCAAAGAAGGTTGAGAGCCCAGAGATGAATGTTAAGGACGACGAGGTCATCATATTGGTTAGGAAGATGATTGAGCTCGATGGTATGGATGCTTGAGTAAAAAGTCCAAGGTCATTATAAATGCAGATAGAGGTACATTAGATTTGAATATGAAGATCTCGAGCATGACTCAATAGTTAGAAACTTGAATACCTAGTTATTTACAATCAAATGCTGAATTTCGATGTACTCTTTCGCAACACACAACTCAAAATAGGTAGATACCTATCTGTTCATGCCTGCGTATCAGAGACTTGTGTACCTTACGAAAAGGTGACTCCACCGCGGGGCACTCTCTATCATGAATGCTCTAGATACTGCACGCTCCCAGCACAGTATAGAACACTAACAGTAACGCCAACGCCAACGCCAACAAGTGGCATCCTACAAGCGTTTCCAATATTCGCACCTAAAGACATGTCTCATCAAGATTCAGAGCCAGAGGAGGCCATTACCAAGGAAGAGATCCGTAGTGAAGAGCCTACAAAGAAATCGACCCGCAATGCATGCAAGTCACACACTCAACTCACTCGAAGCACCCATTCTTACATATGGCAGTCGCAGAACTCATGGCTCCAAAGAGGAAAACACCACCGGAGACAAATACAGCTCGGCCATCGCGTAGTGGGAACCCGTTCAAAGACCGCATGGGTTTGGGTGCATATCTTGAAGATCCAGCCTCATACCCATCTTCGCGCGTCATCTATCACAACGAGGACTTTGTCGCTATAAACGACCGTTATCCAAAGGCCACAATACACACTCTTCTTCTCCCTCGGTCGTCACAGTACAATCTTCTCCATCCATTTGATGCCCTAGATGACCCAGAGGTCCTTGCCAAGGTGCGGACGGAGACTCGGCGCCTCAAGGTTCTGGTCGCAAAGGAACTCCAACGTCGTCTTGGCACGCACAGCGAGAGTGATGCTCATCGACAAGCCGTACTCGATGGAGATGCCGAGCCGGACCAGGGTGGTCAACTCCCGGAGGGCCGGGACTGGGCTGCAGAAGTCAAGGCCGGCGTGCATGCGGTACCAAGCATGAGACACCTTCACGTACACGTTTTCTCAAGGGATATGATCTCTGAAGCCTTGAGACATCGCAAGCACTACAATTCGTTCAATACGCCGTTTCTGGTTGATCTGGACGACTTTCCGCTTGCAGCTGATGATCCGCGCAGGAACACAAAGGAGGAGGCATATTTGCGCTGGGATATGAAGTGCTGGAGATGTGGGCTCAACTTTGGGAACCAGTTCCAAAAGCTAAAACGACATCTTGAAGAGGAGTATGAGACATGGAAGAAACTTTAGATAAGAGAAGGTTGGGATAAAAGGGCCTGCTTTACCCGTCTGTAAATTAGCATGATATTTGTACAACTCCTGAAGAGCACAATCCCAGTATAACAGTTCCATGAATTCTTCCTGACCTTCACCCCTCGTGTTCCCAAGCACCCTAAAGCAAATCAACCAAACCCAGACCCTATAATGAAAGTAGGAAAATTCCGCCTCCGCCGATTATTCATGTTAGGATTTCTATGTTGGTCATAATGGAAATCCTACTCGGAGTCTTCGCCATCCTCGTCATTTGCCTGGAACATGTCAGTAAATAATGTTCTAGGTCGAAGGGTAGGAGAATGGAACTCTACCTCGTCCTTAGCGGGCGACTCATTGGCGGCATCATCCTCGTCGGCTGGAAGATATTAGCACATAATCAACTTGGAGCTTCGTAGAAATTCCTTACCAGGTTCATCGTGCTTGGTCTCCTCATCCTCTGATACATCAGCAGCCTTTGGCTTTCTGCCACGCTTCTTGCCATCCTTGGGCGTTGTAGCAGCAGACTCTGTGCCGCGAGCAGCTCGAGGAGGTCGACCACGTCCCTGCTTTGGCGTACCATCATCATTTACTGCAGCGACCTTCTTGGGTCCAGCGGCGGCCTTCTTGCCAGTACCTGGGGGTCGGCCGCGGGGGCGTCCTGTTGGAACATAGACCTTCTTGGGCATGGGAGCAGCACCCTTGGGAGGCCGTCCACGGCCGCGCTTGACGGGAGCTTCAGCGGAATTCTTGGTCACTCCGGCGGAGGATTTGGGGATGCGAGGCGAGGCATCGCCCTTGGACGCGACATCTTCCTTGGTACGCGCCATGGTGCGGCAGAGAGAAAATAGCGAGAGAAATTGAGTTGGTGAAAAACGTGATAAAATTTCCCGAAAAATCGCGCAGCAAAGTCCGATACTAGTTTCTTCGGCTTGATCGTTGTAGTTGAAAACGCGACAAAAGATTGTTGTGGGAGGTAGAAGAAGAGAGGGAAGGCGAACGTTGGATGTCGCGTTTCGTCTGCAAAGGTATCTGAACCTAGGTACCTATTTAGGTAGGCACTGGAAGCTAAGCTCAGCTAAGGTGCAGCGCCCTAATTAGCAGTAAAATTGATCAAGGGTGGCTGGAGTTTAATTCGCGTCACTTGGTCCCCGCGACAAAGAATTTGGGCTATTGCGTGTGACAGAATAACTCGAGTACAGAACAGTAGACAAAAAGAGTGATATTTCTTTCAGAGACTGACCAGAGTCTAGACCTGATTCAGACTAGAGCTTCCGAGTCTCGATGGGGCCGCTTGGCCCAAGCTCCCTTCTGTTAAACCAGTCAAAACCTGTACTACGCATACAAGGGCCCCCTGCAACTGCCCCTAGCAACGTGAATGACGCTGGTAAACAAAAAATACCTACAAGGGAAGACGGTGAGATGTGGGTTATTCTTCGACATCGACTTCACGACAGCATCGACAACGCCAACAGCATCCTTATGACGATGGCTCTGGACTCGAGATTGATGCCTTCTCCCTCATCGCCCTCGGCGTCCTTTTATGAGGGCAGGGTTCACTCTTCGGCCTCAACGCCATCGCTGAGATCTCGAGATGCGGCTTTATCCATGCCCGCCAGAATGGAAGGGGGAGGAAATGTCAAGGTCGTAGTCCGAGTGAGAGCGTTTCTCAAGAGAGGTGAATACACTTAGGCACCCGGTCTCCTTTTCGTAGAACCTCTGTATCTGACTAGTCTACAGAACTTGAACGCCAGGCAAAATGTCTGATCCAAATGGACCCCATCACTCAACTCACAACACTCTCCGCACCCGATGACCCTGATCCAGAGGCTGCAAAGCTAAAGGCCAAGAAGGTCATCGAGGAGAAGAAATTCACTTTCGATAACTCCTTCTGGAGTCATGACACTAACGACAAGCACTACGCCACTCAGGAAGATGTTTACAACAGCCTTGGCGAGGACTTTCTCGATCACAACTTCGAAGGCTACCACACGTGTATCTTTGCCTACGGACAGACTGGATCTGGAAAGAGTTACACCATGATGGGCACCCCAGACCAGCCTGGCCTGATTCCTCGGACTTGCGAGGATCTCTTTGAGCGTATCGACGCCGCTCACTGCGAGAACTCAAATGTCGCCTATAATGTTCGCGTCTCGTACTTTGAAGTCTACAATGAGCACGTCCGTGACCTCCTCGTTCCTCCTCAAACGCACAAGGCGCCCAATTATCTCAAGATTCGCGAATCTCCCACCGAGGGCCCATACGTCAAGGATCTTACCGAGGTGCCCGTGCGAAACATCAATGAGATTCTACGCTACATGAAATTGGGCGATACATCTCGTACGGTAGCGAGCACAAAGATGAACGATACAAGTAGTCGAAGTCACGCCGTTTTCACAATCATGCTGAAACAAATTCACCACGATATGGAAACCGACGAGACGACAGAGCGAAGCTCCCGCATTCGACTGGTGGATCTGGCCGGTAGCGAGAGGGCGAAGGCCACCGAGGCTACTGGTGCGCGATTACGCGAAGGTAGCAACATCAACAAATCACTGACCACGCTGGGACGTGTAATTGCCGCTCTAGCAGACCCCAAGGCCGGAAGGGGTGGAAAGCGAAAAGAGGTTGTCCCATACCGAGACTCAATCCTCACCTGGCTTCTCAAAGACTCACTAGGCGGAAACAGCAAGACGGCCATGATTGCCTGCATCGCACCCTCAGACTACGATGAAACCCTTTCCACGCTGCGATATGCCGACCAAGCCAAACGAATCCGGACCAGGGCTGTTGTCAACCAGGATCACATATCAACAGCCGAGCGAGACGCGCAGATTGCTGCCATGGCGGAGGAAATTCGCATTCTGCAGCTTTCCGTATCAGACTCGAGACAGCGTGAGAAGAACGCCAAGGAAGCCGAGGACAAACTGGAGGAGTACCAGACTCATGTCAACTCTATGCAGCGCATGATGGAGGAGCGCAGCATGGTAGCTGAGAGCAAGATCAAGAAGCTTCAGACGGAGAATGAGGCCTTGAAACTGCACCTCAAGCTCGCCATCGAAAGCCTCAAGAACCCTATTCCTCCTGTCGCCGTAAAGCCAGAGCGAGAAGTCGACGAGCAGGACAAGGAGAATGCCTCCGAATATAGTGAGTACGATGACGATCAGTATGATTCGGAGAGCACAGCATATGGCGAAGATGAGTTGCAAGAAGAAATGCAGCAATACCTCCAGGATATGGGTAACTTGAGGAAGTTGATGCAAGGGGACTTGACCAGGTTTAAGAATGAGAACAGCGCGAGAATGCCACTGGGCGCAAAGGAAAACCTCTGAAACGAACGGCCAACGGCGATTGAAGGAAGATTTACTAGCATGACAGGAGCATGGTGTTTTGGAAGCGTTGTTTGAATGACCGGGTCGGATTAGATTCACTGGATGTCTCTTTGAGTTTGCTGGACAATAGGCTACGTTACTTTACGTTACTACAAATGATTTAAATATGAAGAATTTTACCACACACGAGTCCATCAGAGTCAATGGTATGATAAAATGGACCATAAAGCTTTGTTTGTGTGTACGCATTGAGTACCTTGATGATAACATCAGCGTTGGGCAACTACTTACATAAATATGATGATTAGCGGCGGGTTTCTTGTGCACTAAAAAGCTCGTTACCTTATACACATATAAGTAATTCTATCTCCTATAAATCCCCCGAATTGTGTTTTGACAAGCACTCTTGGGATCCGTCGGTTAACGTTACAGGATGAACTGTCGATATGATCATTGTCAAACAGGTAGTTTCACTAAGTAATGTGTTTGACCTGATTGGCTGAGCCGGTTCGTCAACTTCAGTTTCAGTCGGACCAGGGATATCTGAAACTGTCCCCATGATTCGTCGGAATGTCAGCTGAGAAAATAGAACATGCCTTGAACGCAGTAACAGAGGTCAATAGATGAGCAACTGACGATGTTTCGTCACCAATCAATGGGGATTGCGAAGCCTGTAGTAGCTCATTCGCCGCCTCAAAGACCCCGCAGTCATGTCGTATCATGCCATGGATATCAGCTACCTTATGTATCTCTGCTATGGCAGAAGACTTGGCATTTGCCTTGGATAAAAAAACACCAATATGCATGCTTAGAGTCATACTAGTAGACTATTTCACTACATAGTAGTTTGTCTTCACCCCTAGGTTATTCAGAGTCTTATAAAAGTCTGGACACCTCTAGGCACACCGACCTACATACTCTAGTACTATATTCCTCCATCCATACTACTAAGGTAGGTAGGTACTAGGTAGGCATCCAATATCCCCACCATAGCTCGGCATTTTGGGCATCTATAGTAGCAACAAAGCACTAGACCTGATCGTTAGACAGTACGTAATTATCTGCGTCCCCTTTTCTGACTACTACACACTGGCCTTCTCCTTATATGCCTGCCATTATTCGCTTGTTGCTAAGAACTAAACGACGAAATAGGGGCTGTTAATAGTTTACCTGTACCAAGTTGTCTATTCCTCTTTCTGTCTGACGTGCCCCTCACCAGCTAAGCTACCTCCATACCTTACCTACGTGACAGGGTTACCTCTGTAGTTTCAACTCCAGTCTCCGTGCTCATCTCCGACCTTTGGCTTTCATCACCTCCATAACTACTCAGCATTCTTACATTCGTTTTCCCTCCTTCTTCGTCTCGCATCTTACCAACATGTCTTCCCGTCTTCCTCTCTTCACGCGCGGCATCGCAGAGTCGCAATCTCAGGAGAGCGATCCCAGCTCTCCCGCCGAACAGCGCGACGATGCCAAGCGAAACTTCCTAAAGACGATGCGAGCACTGCCCACTCAGCATTATTGGAACGTCTACTTCGACCGACAGGCCAAGGAAGGGGAAAGCGGTGATCAGTATCACTCTGGGCTGGAGCAGCTCGGTACCCAGATCGAGTCGGTGCAGGACTTTTGGCGCTATGCCAACAATACTCCTGTCGGAAATATTGGTGTTCGAGAGTCTTTGTATCTTTTCAAGTCAGGCTTCCGCCCTGTCTGGGAGGACCGACGCAATATTCTGGGTGGAAGTTGGACATTCCGCTTCCCTAAGAGCATAGGACCCGATGTGTGGACTCGTGTTCAGCTCCTCGCTATTGGCGAGAAACTCCAGAGTGTTCTTGACGACGGTACGAACTCTGACCACAATGGACGCACTTGTGCTAACTTCTATTTAGACGACCAGCTTTGCGGTGTTGGTCTCTCCGTCCGCTTCAACTCCCACCTCATCACCGTATGGCACCGCGACGCCTCCAAGAAGAACTCGATCGACAACATCGTCAAGTGCATCATGGAGGAGCTCCCTCCCGAGATGCAACCCAAGCCTGACGCATACTACTATAAACGCCACTCAGACCACGCTGGCTTCAACCCTCCCCCGGAGCTCAAGGTCGTACTCGACTCCCGCCGACAGGAAGAGGAGAAGCTCGCTGCCGCTGCGGCCAAGGGTGGTGACGCCAAGCCATCGGTGACGGTCGAGTCTCCGCAATGATTTTCACGAAAGTTACGATGTTTGGTTTTGCGCTGCTATATAGTTCAGGTTCATTTCAGGTAGTTGGGTTGACATAGTGCGTGCTTGTTAGCTCACGTATCCTATCCCGTCCCGTCGCTGTCACCTATGGGGCATGCATGCATCTGATAAGGCGTTTCAGAATTAGATGTGATTATACATATGTATTGGCCAGGACCGTTGATCCTGAAGAACCTAGCGCTTTTAAGATTGTGTAATTAGATTTGGAAACAGTGATTGCGTAGAGCTGCCCCTCAACTGCTGATATAGACACTGAATGTCTGATGCCTCCGTTTATGAACTCATCAAGGTCCCTCCAAACAAGCCTCGACTCAGTGATGCGCACTATACTATAATAATTATCATGGACCTTGGTCTGCAAGCGAAAATGGGTGATTAGCAGTCAGCGTCTCATCCCTCATGTTGAGATTCTTACCTCTCTTTCAATGCAGCATTGCAACTCTTGGATCGATTCCGCTTCATCTCATGGTATTAACTCCCCCAAGTCGTACAAGGCAAGTTTCGTTTGTTCGTAGATCGTAACATGGTGGCTCCTCCTGGAAGCTGGAGAATCACCTCCAGACACCAGCACTCTTCATGACTCCATCAAATTCCTCAACGCCCACTCCCCTAGCAACACCTACGCCGCCGTTCGCCTCGAGAATCATATCCTTGAGTAGTTCCTCATCGACATCCTCTTTGAGCACAGCAGCAACACGCCGCAGGTGTGCAAGGGTAATGGGTCCATCCTGACCATTTGTGAATAGTCGAAAAGCTTCCTCGACTTCTGCACGATGGGCGTCCGAGTCGTGCTCTCTTGTATGGAATTTGAGGGCGCAGATTGCGAAGAAAGGTTCAAATGTCGCGTATCCGTCGTTTTCTGGATCCAGGATTGATATAAATTCTTTGAGCTCTGCGTGAGAAGAGGGTGGAACACCGAGGGCTCTAATTAAGCAAGCATATGTCAGCCAAGGACGCAAAGGCGTCCTCACATGGGTTACTTACATGAGTGCAGACTTAACATCGTCAATAGGCAAGACTCCATGCTTCTCACCGTCCATTGGCTCTGCAAAGAGACTGAACGCCTCGCGGATCTCGCCCTCTTCTTGCGCAGTCACATTATGCTCCTTTGCAAGTTTGGATTGTCGCGTCTTGGGTGCGGCGGTTGCGCTGGTCGCGGGAGCCTTGCGCTTTGGAGGCTAAAGGATTCTGTTAGGCCTTGTCTTGACTGATATAAGGTCAGATTATGCATTACCATTTGCGCTTGCGAAGAAGGGACAACAAGCACTTATACGTAGTCGCGATGATCGATGTCACGATAGGTGCTTTGTGGTGACGATAGGTAGTGGATTTGGCGCCCGCGACGAACAGTGCACCAGCACCGTCTTGAGTCTCTATTCAGACTGTACGGGCCCTTCTCCCCGTGAGTTTTAATAAAATTTTCCTTACAGACCCAAACCTTTTCCCTTTAACAATCTATCTCAACATTTCCACAGTCTTTCTGGACCGGTTTCACAATGCACTCGCGCTCTCTTGGAGAATAATCACCGCGAAGTACTCTACGGTTTGTTTACTTGTGCCTGCTACACCGCTACCATACATACTCGGATCTCGACGCCGACAGCTCTTCTCGACATCGTGATGTTCCCTCAATATTCGCTTCTAAAAATGCTAGAGCTTGCCGCTTTGAAATCACTACAGCGAGCAAGTGTGGACAGTGAAGCAAAATTCAAATAAGCCTCGTCGGACAACTTCAAACCGACCTGGTTCCAGCGGGTAGCAAGCGATGCCATGTCTTTGAAGACAGGCACCTAGCGATCCATGGAGACACACAATTTGTAGTACTTGGTTTTCAATAAAGTCAATTACACTCAGAATACTCGCTCGCCCTATGCAACTCATCTTCACCCAATGCTTCCTTTCTCCTGGGCCCTGGCCAATCTGTTATCTGCCATCTATATCTTGGCCTCTGGCTCTCTTTAGAACTGGTCAGCCGTGAAGGGATAGAGGATCGTGAGGAAGTGCTACTACTTACTCACTTGAAGTTGTTCTTCATTTCGCGTAACTTGGCCATAACTGCCACAGGCTCCGTCTCGCCCGTCTGCTTCTGAATCTCGGGATCCTGTGATGGTTAGCTTGGTATCCTAACATGTTCAAGAACTTTGACGAACCTCGACCCTCATAAAGACGTTGTGTTGCTATGCAAAGTCAGCCATTTCGTATCGAGACAAGTCGTGGATTCCAGCTACCTTTTCGTCTCCGATGGTAAATTTGCCAGTGGTGACCTTATTGTTCTCGGCGAAGGAGTGGAGCTTCTGTACAGCATCGCGCTGAGAAACAGATGCGGCAAACTTGACATTGGCCTTGGTATACTCATGTCCTGGCTATCATAATATGAGCGTCGACGTACTTTTGTGTAGGCTTCGAACTTACGTAAATCACAGTGTCATCAGGCAACGCCGCAAGACGCTTGTTCAGGGCCTCGTGCATCTCCTCCGCATTGCCCTCGAAGAATCTTCCACATCCTGTTCATTATCAGCACAGGCTCAAGACATCCTTGTGCACATTTGAGGCTTGCTCAAACTTACCGCCAATGAAAAGGGTATCACCCGTGAAAACAGCTTTGTCCTTTCCGTCTTCCACAAAGAAGCAGATGCTGTCCTGAGTGTGGCAAGGTGTATGCACACCCTTGAAGGTGATGTCGCCGAGCTTGAAGGTCTCGCCGTGACCTGGTGTCTTCGTAACACCATCACAGTCTTTGCCGCCAATAATATCTATCTTGGGGTTGTCCAGCTCAGCAAGCTCGTGGATGTCAACAAGTTTTCATGGGGCCTCATTCTGGGGGGTCTTACCAGCTTCTTGTTGCCTCCTGCATGATCCCAATGACAGCAAGGAGATCAGTCTAGGTCGGGAGAAATTGGCAGTTAATGATACTCACTGGTGGGTGTTGACAATGGCTGTCAAGTTGATCTTCCCCGCCTTGATAGCCTCCTTTAGGATAGGCGCAACCCTGCACTATACATCAGCAGCTTCTCAGATATTCTCAGGGTGGTTACTATGTACTCGGGAGGGTTTGCGGGATCAACGATGACGGCGTCCTTGGACTTATCGTCAACTACCAGGTAAGCGTAGTTGTTGGAGCTTCCCTCCCCTATTGAAATCAGTTTCAAGGTCCTCGACTTCAAAAGGGATTCTTTGGACACATGACATACACATGGGAATTGACTGAATATGCATGGCGCGGGTAGCAACAAGCTACATCATCTCAGCTGAGCACACTTTTTGGAGTTGAACAATTGACTCACAGCACTAGATAGAAATCCAATTTTCTGTCTGAGAAATCGCCGACTTGTAGCGATTCTATACATAAGTAGGTCTCTGTAAATGTCAAGGCCAGTTGAAGGCGGATGCGCTGTAACAGAACAAGATCGAATGAGACGTGAGGCTTTGTCATCCAAGCAAGGCATCATGGCTCCAGCATCATGACGTTTGCCGATGCGGGCGACTGCACGTGATATATCTGGGTCCAATTCCAACATTCACCCATGGGTATTTTGCCTCTGCAGAATGATGATTTATGCAAGTACATCCAGTCAAAAAGGGGTATCTAATAGAAAGATTGGACGCTCGTTCTAAACAATGCCAATAGGTTTAGGCTTCCATGTGCCTTTGAACTGTGACCACCCAAAGTCATCTTCCTCATCAGCTTCACCGGTGTCAGGCTCTGTGTCTTTCATCGTCGTATCGGCGGTACCAGATTTTGACGACTTCCTATCTTCCTCAGACTCTCGTAGCCTCTGCATCAATTCTGCGCACTTCAAAAATGCTTGGTTGCCTGGCAAACTGCCCTTGACCTCTTGAACTGTCTTGAGAACGCGCTCAGGAGGCCATCGCTCGAACTCCTGGAACAGAGCTGCCAGCTTCGATTCATCTCCCTCGCTGAGATACCGTAGTACTGTCTTGCGACACGCATCGCTATTGTCCTCGCCCAGCTGCTTCCAGTAATACTCCCAAATCCACAGCAAGGCCTTCTTAGCTGCTGTGCGCAACTTTGCTAATGAAGGCAGCTGTTCGTGCGTTGACTGATGGCGAAGCTCAACAAATGTAGCGGGCAACCCAATGGTCTTTGCAATAGAGTACATACTCTGTTTGCGCTGTTTGTCCTGATGGCCATCAAGAAGACCAGTAACGAACCTTGTGTTTCATCAGCTCCATCGTACAGCAATGGGTCTCGGCTGGCAGAACTTACCTGCTAAAGGCTGCTGAATATGCTGCTCTAATTGCGTACGCCGACGAAGCTGCATTTTCTCCAGCGGCTGCCTCTTTATCACTTAGCATCGCCGCCATCAACAGGGCTGTTGACTCGACCATGTGAGGGCAGTTTCCTCGCTGCATCCACATCGACACGCGCGCAACCGCTTTGTGCTGCCTCTTTTGTGTTTCCTGGTCGTCCAAGATCCGTTGGTTTTGTATGTTTACACTGCCTTCAGCATGGCTTGAATGCCCCTTGGCCTCTATATCGTTGGTGTCGATGCCTGTGTACATCTGCTCGCGAACGAGCAAGAGCTCGTAACGGTCGCGCCATGGTGTAAAGACGTATTGTACCATTTTTTGGGTCTCTATGATAATATATTTTTCTCCGGAGTATTTGATACTTAGCAGCATCCAAGTTAGTAGTCGCCTGTCCGGAGGAAACAGCGGCGCGTGTATTTATTTCTGTTCTGTTTTTTTCGTTTGTCGTGCACTGATTGCAGGATTTTTGTTCGGATAATTTTTCTGTAACAAATGATGGATAGGTATCTATCGCCTCAACAGCATGTGTGATTCTTGCTAACAGCATCACGTTTTAATGCCCTGTGAGTTTATTCTGTAACCTATTATATCTCACGGGGTTTCAAAATTATAATCGTGATTTTCTTTTAATTTCTTACCCCCCCAACACTTACGTATTTCAGCGCCCAGTGTCGTAGATAAATGTCAACGAGTAAACCATAATACTAAAGTCCGAGGCTGGTACAGGGTAAGACATCTAAGTAAAATGAGACAAATCAAAGCGCATCAACTTAAGAAAAAAACGCTTTCCCTGTAGTGGGTATTTAAACAGATAGTGTCTTGAAAATTATGTCTACTAGGTAGGTACTGTAGATTTTAGATTCTTTAACGATGTGATTATGATTTCGGATGGCAGAGGTCGAGAATGGAAGTTCGGCGAGAGGGTATAATAGCGCCTTGCCAATCAATCAGCACGGTATAAATCTAGCGGCTATAACTATTACCATCCCACCTCGAATAAGGGCCTCCCTGCGCCTTAAGCAGGTTGAGCAATTTTTCAGGTCATGAGGTGGAGCAGAGCTCCTGGTCAAGTCTCATTCGGAGCATGCTAGCTTAGTAGGCTAGTCATGTCTCCCCAGAATGCATGAGTTCGTATGACTCCCAGTTCTATCTACGGAGCTTCCGAGCCACACAGAGTTCTAAGAAGTTGCTGAATTAGATTGAGTTACTGATCAATAGGGCGCAAGAATACCTAGGACTTTTTATCTCAAGTGATAAGAAGACTTGGGTAAGTTTACTATACTTGTTGTGGAGCTTTAGACCAGTTTATTCTGGCACCTCGTTTAATCTCAGAGGTTTTACCAGTATATTTCCCCCAAAGACCGATCAATCTTACGGTGGCGCTAGCCACTTTTTATTCTTCAGCCACAACCGTCCCTGAGCAAATACGTAATGCCGTAAAAAAAGAAAATCGGAAAGAGGGGGTCGTGCACATGCCACGCAGGGCTGGCTCAGAGTGGGGAGGGGGGCGTCAAATCTGGAACTTGACCAATTGAATATGCCGAGTCAAAGTGCGGAAGCACGGACCTTCAATATGCCACATGCTGTACAGGGTTCAGCACAGCTAATCAACGTTGGCAAGAGACGCGGCTCTTTTTGGGTCCACCTCATTCATACCGCCTCTTTTTGCCTAAGCTACCTACCTACCTACCTACCTACCTACTATACCTTAGCTATCTCCAACGATGCTGTGGTGACTGATGGATTTTGCTGTTGCATGATAGGCCATGGCCCAAGTTACTATTGTCAGCCACAATGCGTGACACATTGTCAAGTCGCTTTATTCTCTCTCTCAATATATTGGTTATATATTTCTTCGTTGGATAACTATTGGGCGGCTGCCTGAGCCTTACTTGTATCTCTTAGTTTTGTGCTTTTGCACGGGGTATCCATAGCCAGCCGAACTCTATATATGTAGTAAATTCAAACGCTTGCATCCATGTTCCTTATCCTGAGATCCAGGTGCACCGACCTAACCACCTTGTAGTTTCCCATGTCCCAGAGAAGCAAAAGCCGGCTTTTCCTGCCTACCAGTGTACACCATAGTGTTACAAAAAATCATGTCATTATTCATGTATGCCGTTACAAATTTCGAGATGCAGCGGGATCACTGCTCGTCGTCATCCTCCTCCTCTTCGTCGCCTTCATCTTCATCCTCTTCGTCGTCAGATTTGGGAGGCTCCCATGTCTCTTCAAGCTTAAGACCCTTGCCTTGAGGCTCCTGGGCCCTGAATGATGACCCAAGTAAAGATGATACAGTAGATCGATAGTTGTTGAGCTGAGGATCCTCGTTGTACTTCTCCGGAGTGTCGTACAGCCCCATTCCAACCAGGATCTCGCCGTCTTCTTCCGCGGCATCTTCAAGAGCCTGATAGTGAGGATCCTCTGATACTGCTGGTTGAGACAGTTGGGTTTGTGGGAGAGTCTCAGGGGTGGGGGGTGTGGTGGAGCCAATACCGTGCATGATAAAGGTATTCCAGTCCCATCCATTGCTATCAGTGGTCTCGGCGGGCGCAGCAATGACAGGCAGTTGACGACCCGGCAAGACCATAGAAGCAGCGGGGGAGTGGTGCGACATGTTCGTTCCGTGGTAAGGATTGTAGGTCATGTTGTCGGTAGATTGATATGGGAGAGGCAGATGGGAGAAAGCCAGCGGGGATGTACCGCATGAAGTTGAATCCATCATTGGGGAATAATGAGCATAGTTGCCGTGCAAGTCTTGGTGGTCGGAAGGCAAGTGGCTTGTAGTCAAGGCATACGCGGGTTGTTGCGCCTGGACATAGGGTTGTTGGCCATATGAGCTCGGATGCCAACTCACGGGACGTGATGACCGTGGGGCGGGTTGCTGGGACTCAACGTCACAAAATGTTGATAGCTGTTCCATGACTTGCTGTTGTCGGCGTTGCAAGTTGCCGTCATTCATGAGAGTCTTTCGGCGAGCCATGATACCAGACGAGCGAGGGCTGTTGTTGGCGCTTGAAGGCTTGGTCACCCTCATAGCACCACCAGATCGTTGTCCACTGGACCCTCGTGAGAACCTTCTTGAAGCTTGCGAGCATGCCATTTGTTGTGTGTGGTCGTCCAGCATTGTGTCGTAAGGATATGTGATGGGCAAGGAGCCTGCTGGCTGCACACCGAAGAGTGGGTGCATCATCTTGAACTGTATCGAGGAAGTAATGTGATTGAAAGTTGAGATATATCGAGACAAGTTGCCAAAACGACAGCTGATATTAGAGTAGTTATCGTTCCCAATACAAATTAACTTTGAAGGTGAAAGTAATGATGGTAGATCCAAAGAACTGAGAAGGCCTCAGCTTGAATATGTATCGTGAAATGGTGGTACCGGTTCCAAAGGGGTTCGAGGGGGCCCTGTTAACGAAACATGGGGCAATCGATGGCTTGAAAGATAAATCGAGCCTAGCAGCTTTGAACAAGATCAACTCTCCAAGGATCTGGGTGTGGATCATGAGGGACCAAGCAATAAAGAAGCATGGCCGATTTAGTAGCGACAAGATGGCTGTAAACCGTAGAATTTAGAACAGCCGTCAAATCAGAATCTGGCCCATGGGGTACTTGGCTAGGTTTCTCATCACATTTGACCCTCACTTCACGTTCCTGTGCTGGGATTATCATTCTAGCATGGCAGCTGGGGTGGTGGGCTGCGTCATACGGGCCGGCAGGGGGTGTGCCAACGGGCGGAGCCAGCAATCAGTGAGAAAAGGCGGGCGGGAAGTAGTGCCGGAGCGAGAATCAGGCTGCTGGTCTGGGGATTGAGACGACGTCTGCGGCATGGAGTCAAGGGTTTTCCTGTGTGAGGGCGTGTCGACTGGTACAGAGTAGGATCAGTGCGGTTCACGCCGATTTGGTAGGCATACGCTAAGTTTGGCGTGGTACCGTCGTACCGACAGGGCGAACAAGGAGGAAACAGGTAGTGATGGTGATGGGGCCTCCCGCCGCTATGATTGCGTTGCAGACCCACCAGAGCGGCGTCTCTAGAAGAAGTGGACATCCTCGGGTCGTCTGGTCTCAAGGCAAGCTAGGCAAGTCACCCCTGCCGCTAAGGATGCAGCTCACATGGAGTAGTGGGGAAAGAAGGGATGGAGAAGAATTTGGTCCACGGGCTGGAGTCGTAATAAAGCACAAGGAGCAAGGTCGTCAGCCAGTCTGGCCGCAGCATCCGCTTAGGACTCAGCGAGAGTAGGGGGTTAGGGTATTGCTGAAGGGGTGCACCAAGCGCTGCACTAGCCGGCGCCACAATGCATGCATTTGTTGGGCCTGAGATGGGCTGGGGGACCACTACTGTAGGAAGCGCCGCGCCCAGGCCAAAGGATGGAACATTTCCCTACTGGGTGAAAGTACCACTCCGGAAGGGTCTTGAATCTCATCCAAGCGGAATACTCATCACTGCTTTCATGGTTTGGCATGCTTCGCTCAGTGTACTGCAGACACCCCTGCTGTAGCACATGTAATTCCCATTTCTCGGCTCTACGCTGAGGTATTGCAACTCGCAAAGAGGGTGAGATGCGAGAAGGGCGTTCTCCTAGGAGAAACAATCATATCTGATCGACAGGTGCTTGATGATGTTTGCAATTGGTTTGAGATCCGTCTATCGTCACCGCCGAGGGAGGACACCGGTAATAACGGTTTGTTGTACCCGCTTCTCTGTACATGCTCTTGCGTATCATGATCCGTTTATTCTTGGGACTATTGAACGCTTGTCTGGTGAGGAACAGCATCATTGGCGACTTCCTGAGGATGGACGGAATAATGTGCTGGCAAGTGATAAATGCTTTGTGCAAGACTTCGATAAATGGGTGGATAGGTAGCTTGATGGACTGGCACCGAGTTTCCCTGAGGCCTGGAATGGCTATCACCGTGAAAGTTTAAATCACGAGACGATGTATTGGCAAGGGCTTGATGGCACAGCATAACCCCATCAAAGCCCCATCACAGACGGTTGGTGTTGCGCTGTCTGGGCTGTATGATAGCTCCAATGTCGATGAGAAATTCAAACGTACCATTTCAGATACTAGGATGTGGGACCGCATCCGCAATCTAGTACCCTAACAAGAGTCGGCATGGTGCTTCTCCTGGTAGCAAAACCTGTGGGCGGGTACCCGGCGTTGCATTATGCACATGGTACTCCGACTGTGCAGGAGAGCCAGGTAAGTCACCACTGTGAGTGCTTTTCTGGGCGTGTGATAGACGACTGTAGGTGAGGAAGCTAGACATGCTATGATGAGCGACGTGCCTGTACTGTTGCCGTTGACGGGAATCCTTGGTGGCAAGAATCCCTATCTCAGTGGACGCGGACAGTTACCGTCTTGCAATTTTGCTCCGTGCAGTAAGACCAGGCACAGGGAGCGGCAATGCAGTTTGGCCTCCATGGAGCGAGACCTCGGACAAAGACTAATGCGTTAGCAGTAATATCAATCTCCCTTAGGTCGTCATAGAGAGGTATTTGATGGAGAGGGAGCGCCGGGCAGTAGTCAGCCCAGATCAATGAGGCATTGACTCAAAGCTTGAACGAATGGCGGCGCAGGGCCGCCTGACTCTCCAGGCATGTACGTACCGCCCAACACCCAAAGCCTGAGGTAATTACCTTCTTGCATCGGTATCTCAGGTAAGGCAGCTAGGGTAGGCACGTTCCAGCAACGCCCGATGGCCTGAGCGCTGACATCCAATCCATCCTGCTTTACCTGCTCTGGTCAATTGTCCAGTCACAGATGTGGAGGGCCCTTGGGCGGTAAAAATACACGAGACTGGCTTACACCAAAATCCATCGATCTACCACCAACCGCTAGTCTCTTGTTTTCTTTCACCCTAGGCTAGACTGAAAGCACAAGTCGTTCTGCTCCGCCTGAATACCTAAGGTATGTACCTACCGCAGGTAGAGGACGCTTGAACTCTTCCCTCCCTGTTTGAAGTTATTAATGGCAAGTGCGGTAACCAGTCTAACCAGTCATCTATCCACCTGCAAGCCCCAAAGGTTGTTCAGTTGGTGACTCGCTCATCCTGACAGTTCAGACAGTACATATCATCCAAGCGCTGAATCAAGTTCGATTTAACACAAATGTACATGCTTTCCTTTACCCAGGGGCTGTGGGAACAACGACACTTTCTTTCCAACATTGGTAAACATTGGGATGCCAGACCGTGCTCCAGAATCCAGTCTGCCTGCAGTACCACTTCATGGCTCCCTGTACTACGGAGTACGCCAGAGGCAATGCCAACGCCAGCATGATTTGAATTCTGGCGGCTTTTTAAGCAAGCGGTTTAGTTTCTCTTCCTAGACCAGTGGATCTGCCTGCCACGCCGTCTACAAAATGTACAAGTGATTTCATCTCAAAACACGAAACACGAGCAATACTGAAGGTCTGATCTGATATATCAAGTATCCATCTCAGTGAACAAAAAGACTCAAGATTACAGGGCCTAGAAGGAAACCATCAGATGTCTTCCTAAATTTATCTGAGTTGGCCAAAAAGACGGCCTGACAACAGACAGAGGAGAGTGAACAGCAGCCTCTTACGATGATCCGACCTGGAGCAAATCTACCAACGCCCCTCGTTCATAATAAAGGTAATTAATTATATTATGTTCCTACTCCGTAGTCCAATGAAGGATGCAACAATGGCTACACACTGACGGTCTCGGCTTTTACTCCTTCTCTGTCACTTCCATTGTCTCATCTCATCGCCCCTCTATCTATGGGACGGCTCATCAAGCTCACACCGCAGTCAACCAGAGTTTTGCTGGCGCTTGGTAGCTAGGGATTCTTTGTTTACGAGATTATCCCCACCCTCAGAGTTCCATTGCGCTGACCATAACCACCAAATTGAGTGTCTGTGGAGCACAGCATACTGACGCCCCTCTCTCCTTTAGTCCTCGCCTGTTCGCCTTCTGAAGCTTGCATCTCTCTCCCTTGAAAGATCTTGGCATACTTGTAAGTTGACTAGCCCCCTCTGGAAGGATCCAATTGTGCAGTAGAGGGATCAGCAGCCTGGGGCCATCAGTTGGTGAGCCTGGCTGCCTGGTGAGTTGGGCCTTGTTGTTTCTGAATTGCCCTGATCGGCCACTGATTCAGTCACCAAACGAGGGCTGGAACTGTGCGCCACCCCGAAAGTGTCCTGGTCCAAGATGAAAGCGTGCCGCCTCGATGGATCTTTCAACATCCTTTTCTTTAAACCTCATGTAACCCTGGCTTGCCTGGCTCAATGTCCTGGTGAATTGACCGTACATACGAGAGTCGGGTGTGTGGCCAGAACAGCCAACGTGTCTATCACCGGTGCCTCTGAATGCGCTCTTTAAGGTAGTGTACGAGTCGATCCATCTTGCGTGTAAATTACAACTATTCTCCATAGCAGGAGAGCGCGTCGGCATCTTGGCAAACAATTGCGGTCAGATATATCCATACTTTACACAAAAGATACCGAAATTGGTCAACAGATCCGGATGTTGTGAACTTCAAAAGATACTCTTACCGGCATTTGCTAGAGGTCAGTTGCTGTAACATCTTTGCAGTGAATCTCGATGCTAGTTCGGGAATTTTTATCAAGACAGCGCTTGCCCAAACATGAAGATTTACAATGTTTTGGATTAGGCCTTCTTTTTCTTTCTTTCTGGTTCAGATGCCCTCGATCGATACCTAGGGGATTGGCGGGTCTGTCCATGGCGTTAAGAGTAAGCGTTGACTTTACTGCCCGCCCTGGGCTAGGGAATTCAGGTAATTGCCGTTCTTCGACTTCATGGTCTTATCGAGGCTTGGAGGTTTCAAGCTGGATGGCAGCTGGGTTCCATGGGTTGTACATGCATCCGAAGTTCTCTTGTGGGTCACATGTACAGGGAGAAGAAAGGATTTGGAGGATGTCCGTGTCTTGTCCCCGCGAATCACACTCTTTGGGCCGGATCACGCATTGATTGTCCTGCCCAGGAGTTTTATCTCACTCGGAACAGCAGGATAGCCATTAGCTTTCGACGCGGAACGCTGTCCCACAAGACATTGGTGCTGATCATCAACCCACAGGCTATAGCACTCATCGAACTTCTCCTTACGGTTCGTGCGTTACCTACCTGAGTCACGGAAGCGCAGCCACCACCATGTGAGAGTCTTCTAATACGGTGCAGTACATACATACTTTTTGCATAAACTAT